AATATAATACAGTGTTTCCCAACCTTTTTTTAGTCGCGGCACCTTTTGGAAATTTTAACAAATTTGTGGCATCCTACAAAATTTATTTTGTCACAATACTTGAATTTCTAACTTCGTATAGTATAGATAGAAGTATAGATAGTATAGATATTCGGTACAGCAGGGAAGAACTGCAGAATATACTCTCATACAGATATTTTTAATATTATTACATTTTTTGTCCATCAATGGTGGCAATCAGTAGGCTAATTTCTAGGGCTGGACCAGAATATTCGATTATTCGATTATTCGTTCAGTGGTTGGCATTCGATTTTCAATTTTGAGATTCAAATATTCTTTTTTTTTCTCGAACACCTGGCATCCCCCGCGAAACGGTTCTCATTCGCGCTTGAATATGAATCGCCCATAATTTCTAATGAAGAGACCAATTTATATGACAGATTTTAATGTAGGCTTTTATTTATATGTAAACATTGTTTAATTACCATTATAACTAGCTATTAGGGCTGCACAATTAATCGAAATTATCGCAAAGGCAATAAATCATAGAATACAATGAAATATTGTGTGCCTTAATTATTCTATTTAAGAAGCCACATCATCTCACAGAAGGATTTATTTCAAACACTCGACTGTGTGGTATTTTCACCTGCTCTCAGATGGAGCAGCATTTACTTACTACACAGAGCCGTAGTTCACTGAGAAGATACGCAAACAGCTGTCATTATTGCAAATGATTTAGTCGATTTCAGTCTGCGATTATGAACGCGATTTTGCATAGCTTGTCAGAGAACTACGGCTCTGTGTAGTAAATGCTGCTCCACCTGAAAGCAGGTGATGGAGATGATTTGGATGGATTTGCTACTAATCACAGAATCGGCTTTACTGACAAAATGTGCACGACAATCGCGATTAATCGCTTTTTGTTAAAACTGATCCCAAAACTGCCCAATTTTTTTCCACTCACCCAATCAAATTCAAAACCACCCAACTGGGCAGAAATTCACTCAGTCTGGCAACACTAGATATTTTATCATGAGTGCAGCTCATGATTTGTAATTCTCAATGTCTCAAATTGGCAGAAATTTAGGTCTGTACATACATAATATTTTTACAATTCATTAATAATTTGGTAACTCTGGTTAAAAAAAAAAAAAAGTAGAAACCTGGTCATAAATTCTGGTCATAAAAAGTAGAAACATACCTGAAGGAACAAAGTCACCATCATCATCTTTCCCATTCTCATTGTTCTGCTCTTCCTCATTACTCGATCTCTGATCTCTGACGCTCCAGACTGAATCCTGAGCTTCTGTCCCATCAGTCACACGCACTGAAACCTGCTCCACATCCTGACAAACACATCACAGATAAATACTAATAAAGAACTAACTGCTGATATCAGACTCATTACTCACCTCTAGTCAGGATGCGAACTACGGGGGAGCTAGGGGGAGCTCGGCTCCCCTTAATAAGACATGGGCTCCCCTGAAAACGGGATTTGTGAAATTTTGGGGGGTCTCAAAAAATATTGACAATGTGTTATTTTGACGTGCAGCTGTTTGTTGTTTCACCTATCAATTCGTGTCGATAAAGTATAATAGGGTAAATCCTGTATAGTGATTTATCCTATATAGTGCTTGCATAAAGCAAGTAGTGCATACACTTGTAGCTGTTATGTATCTTTGTAAGTCATTGTAAGCCGTCACAAGCGCACGAACTGAAGCAGGGTTAGCACCGCATTTGCAGTGTTAACCCCGCATTGCGGTGCTAAGTTTGTTCAGTGTGAAACGGAGCGGTGTTTGCTTGTTGCTGCTGGACGCTTGGCAACAGACAGCCAATCAGAACTTGAGCAGCGAGGCTCATGTCACGTCAGTAACAGGAAACGCGAGTCGTGTAAACAGCAGCCAGTGAGAGAAAAGTAAGAAATGTCAAAAGATGGAAAGCGTGTGAACTGGAGTGATGAGGAGGTTTGTCTTTGTGCGTCTCATGAGGCTTAAAACGGCTAAAGACCTATGCAGTGACATTTTTTTTAATAACTGGCAAGACGCAGGAAAAGCCGTGTAAACAGGTTGCCTGCTGTTCATCCAATCAGTGACACTGACACCGCAAACATGCAAATAAGAACGTTAACCCAGGGTTTAGGAATGTAAACGTCTGTTAATGAATACCCAGGATTAACAGTTAACCCCAGGTATAGTATGAGCAGTGTGAAACGTGATTACAGATAACCCAGGATTCCGTTTATCCGGGGTTTAGGATGACCGAGGGTTAAAAATTTCAAGTGTGAAAAGCCCTATTGGGTGATTGAGCTGAAGGATGAAATGCAGTGTGATCTGCACAACCCTCTCTGTTCAGTTTGTCTCCTCTTTCTCTCAGCTTTGCCTCCAGTGAAGCCACCTCTTTCTTCAGCTGACAGATTTCTGTGATGAAATCCTCAATATCCAGCATGGACAGATCAGTTCCTACTGATTTACAGCAGACCACATCCACCTGCGCTTTCATGCTCAACATCTGAACACAAACACACCATGATTATTAAAGACGCATTTATAATGAATAAACACTGATTTAAACTCAAAACTGAACTACATAGAGCTGACCTGTTATTAAAGAAAATACAATTTTATTTCAGACAACATACAGAAATATTTATTTCAAATGTAGATGTGTTTAGGAATGTTTGCTTCATTTCAACATTGAGCCAGCACAGAGCAGGAATATTATCAAATATTATAATATGTAATATTACAAGCATATTCAGATGTCAGATTTCTACTAATTTCTCCCTAAACTGTAAGAACCTTAAAAGCCGGTTTCATAGACAAGGTTTAGCCTAAACCAGGATTAGGCCATAGTTCAATTAGGACATTTAAGTAATTTTTATAAACGTGCCTTAGAAAAAAAACATTACTGGTGTGCATCTTGAGACAAAACAAAGGCACTGATATATTTTAAGATCAGTCAGTGCAAGTTTCTTTCATTTGAAACAGCTCAGACTTACATTTAATCTAGGACCGTCTGTGAAACCGGGGGTAAAAGCGTGTAGCATTGAAAATGAACCATTGTGTTAATATTACATAAAACTATTGTTCACTACTACAAGTATCATGGTTAAAACTTGGTTACTGTAGTAAAACAATAGGACATTTGTTATGGTTACTGTAGTGAAAAACCATGGTGATTTTTCATAAGGCGAGCGGACGACGAAAAGCTTCATTCATTAAAACACAGAGACAGAACAATAATAAACAGATTAAACATAATGTAAACAGATTAAACACTTACCGTCTGAGCGCTCCAGTATTTTTTTTTCTTCAGTGGTTTTACCGGTGAACTAAAAAAAGAAAGTTATAGTGCCCCCAACAGTACGAGCGATGGAGCTGAAGAGAAGAAAATAGGCTCCGGCCCGTTAGTTCACCAGAAAGAACCGGTTCGCGGAAAAGAACCGAACTTCCCATCACTACAAACAACCGGTAAATAGAATAGAAATGACCGTTAATTTTTGAATTACGCGAGTTCGCGGTTTTCTGTGAAGACAGGAGAAAAGGCGCGCAGATATCAGAGGAGCACAGTAAAGGAAGACACACGTGTGTGTTTGAAAAAATATGATATATATATATATATATATCCTCCTGAGACCCAGCTATGGAGTT